CTAATAGCATGTATTTTCTTTTCTCCTTTCACTCTGATGATTCTTTAACAAGATGAAACCGGTCAGTAAGAAAGAAAAATGACCTTTTGTGATAAACGCTTGTGTCGGGGGTTCTCTATTTACAATATTTTGGCAGTGTCCAAATTTGGACACTGCCAAAACTTCCCGTGTACTGTATTATAACAAAATTTGTATACTATAGTCCCAACACGGCACCTTTCACATTTGCATGCTTTCATGATCACAATCCAATTACCCCTACCCCTGCGCCTCTTTGGGCTCCCAGCGGCTTTGATGGGTCCACTTGTATCATAGTTAGTTTTGGCCAAGTGAGTTGGCCCTACTAATAGCATGTATTTTCTTTTCTCCTTTCACTCTGATGATTCTTTAACAAGATGAAACCGGTCAGTAAGAAAGAAAAATGACCTTTTGTGATAAACGCTTGTGTCGGGGGTTCTCTATTTACAATATTTTGGCAGTGTCCAAATTTGGACACTGCCAAAACTTCCCGTGTACTGTATTATAACAAAATTTGTATACTATAGTCCCAACACGGCACCTTTCACATTTGCATGCTTTCATGATCACAATCCAATTACCCCTACCCCTGCGCCTCTTTGGGCTCCCAGCGGCTTTGATGGGTCCACTTGTATCATAGTTAGTTTTGGCCAAGTGAGTTGGCCCTACTAATAGCATGTATTTTCTTTTCTCCTTTCACTCTGATGATTCTTTAACAAGATGAAACCGGTCAGTAAGAAAGAAAAATGACCTTTTGTGATAAACGCTTGTGTCGGGGGTTCTCTATTTACAATATTTAATTTCCAAATTTGGACACTGCCAAAACTTCCCGTGTACTGTATTATAACAAAATTTGTATACTATAGTCCCAACACGGCACCTTTCACATTTGCATGCTTTCATGATCACAATCCAATTACCCCTACCCCTGCGCCTCTTTGGGCTCCCAGCGGCTTTGATGGGTCCACTTGTATCATAGTTAGTTTTGGCCAAGTGAGTTGGCCCTACTAATAGCATGTATTTTCTTTTCTCCTTTCACTCTGATGATTCTTTAACAAGATGAAACCGGTCAGTAAGAAAGAAAAATGACCTTTTGTGATAAACGCTTGTGTCGGGGGTTCTCTATTTACAATATTTTGGCAGTGTCCAAATTTGGACACTGCCAAAACTTCCCGTGTACTGTATTATAACAAAATTTGTATACTATAGTCCCAACACGGCACCTTTCACATTTGCATGCTTTCATGATCACAATCCAATTACCCCTACCCCTGCGCCTCTTTGGGCTCCCAGCGGCTTTGATGGGTCCACTTGTATCATAGTTAGTTTTGGCCAAGTGAGTTGGCCCTACTAATAGCATGTATTTTCTTTTCTCCTTTCACTCTGATGATTCTTTAACAAGATGAAACCGGTCAGTAAGAAAGAAAAATGACCTTTTGTGATAAACGCTTGTGTCGGGGGTTCTCTATTTACAATATTTTGGCAGTGTCCAAATTTGGACACTGCCAAAACTTCCCGTGTACTGTATTATAACAAAATTTGTATACTATAGTCCCAACACGGCACCTTTCACATTTGCATGCTTTCATGATCACAATCCAATTACCCCTACCCCTGCGCCTCTTTGGGCTCCCAGCGGCTTTGATGGGTCCACTTGTATCATAGTTAGTTTTGGCCAAGTGAGTTGGCCCTACTAATAGCATGTATTTTCTTTTCTCCTTTCACTCTGATGATTCTTTAACAAGATGAAACCGGTCAGTAAGAAAGAAAAATGACCTTTTGTGATAAACGCTTGTGTCGGGGGTTCTCTATTTACAATATTTTGGCAGTGTCCAAATTTGGACACTGCCAAAACTTCCCGTGTACTGTATTATAACAAAATTTGTATACTATAGTCCCAACACGGCACCTTTCACATTTGCATGCTTTCATGATCACAATCCAATTACCCCTACCCCTGCGCCTCTTTGGGCTCCCAGCGGCTTTGATGGGTCCACTTGTATCATAGTTAGTTTTGGCCAAGTGAGTTGGCCCTACTAATAGCATGTATTTTCTTTTCTCCTTTCACTCTGATGATTCTTTAACAAGATGAAACCGGTCAGTAAGAAAGAAAAATGACCTTTTGTGATAAACGCTTGTGTCGGGGGTTCTCTATTTACAATATTTTGGCAGTGTCCAAATTTGGACACTGCCAAAACTTCCCGTGTACTGTATTATAACAAAATTTGTATACTATAGTCCCAACACGGCACCTTTCACATTTGCATGCTTTCATGATCACAATCCAATTACCCCTACCCCTGCGCCTCTTTGGGCTCCCAGCGGCTTTGATGGGTCCACTTGTATCATAGTTAGTTTTGGCCAAGTGAGTTGGCCCTACTAATAGCATGTATTTTCTTTTCTCCTTTCACTCTGATGATTCTTTAACAAGATGAAACCGGTCAGTAAGAAAGAAAAATGACCTTTTGTGATAAACGCTTGTGTCGGGGGTTCTCTATTTACAATATTTATTATTCGCCGTGGCCTTGGTCTTCTGGACACTCACAGTTAGACCCCAACCCAAAGCACAAGACACAAACTCGTTTGTCATCGTCTCCAGGTGGCTCTAAGAGGTGATGTAGAGAGCCGCATCATCGGCAAACTGGGACTCCGTGATGTCGGTAGAGGCCAGCCGAGACTTGGCGATCCGATCCCCAACAAGCTTCCTGCTGAAACGGCAGCGGACCCGTACACCCGGAACAGAAGACTGGCGATGTCATGAAGAGACCACGCCAGAGAAATATAGGTTGAAAGCATAGGCGTCAGCGTGCAGCTCTGAAGCAAGCCATTCCGGACGTTGATGTTTTCCGTGACGGCGTTCGGGAGCCGAACATGCGGCTCCATGGAGCCACTGGACAAGGCCAAGCAGCTTCAGAGGAATCCCCAGATTGCGAAGCACAAGCCACAAAGCAGACCGCGGAATCGAATCATAGGCCTTGCGCAGATCGACTAAAAGCACGTATACATGTAGCTCAGAATGGTGCTCCACCGCCTTCTCCATCAGTTGTCTTGCGGTGAATACCATGTCATTGCAGCCACGGCCCCTCCGGAATCCGCACTGCGAATCCGGTAGAACCGCATCCCCCACTACTGCTTGGAGGCGACCCTGAAGAACACGAGCAAAGACCTTGCCGACCACGTCCAGGATGCTGATGCCACGCCAGTTATCGCAGGACCGTAAGTCACCTTTCTTGGGGATAGGGACAACCTCTGCGTTTCGCCAGTCAGACACGGCAGAACCGCAGGTCCATACCTCGTTGATCAAATTGTGGACGCGCTCATGCAATGCCTCACCACCCGCAAGAATCCCTTCCGGGACAATTCCATACTGTCCATTCGCAGTGCCTGGGTGTAGCTTGCGGAGCGCCGCTACCACTTCCTCAAAAGAGGGCGGGTCGTCAAGACTTTGCCAGATGTCAAGCACCAGCATGGATTCAATGACTCCGCATCAAACGCACTCTCAACATGAAGGACACGGTCAAAGTGACGACGCCAACAGGCTCCCAAACTCTCTGGACTGTCTGTCAAGTTGCCATTCTCATCCCGGGCGCAGGATGTCACCACTGACTGTCGGCCACTGTGCATTCCCTGCAACTTCTTGATACATTTCCAGCGGACAGAGCCGTCCTCCTGGACAGCCTCAGCTTCATCCGTAATTGCTCCGATCCACGCCTCCTTAGCCAATCGAACAGCCTTGCCCACAACTCGCTGGGCAGATCTCAGGGCTTTGGCAAGACGATGGCGTGTCAGAAGAAACATAACGTAGTTAGCGTGAGCTTGGCGCTTGACGGCAATGAGCGGCTCCAGGGTATCGTTACTGGACAAGAACCAGTCCGGCTGAGCCTGTCGTCCTTGTCCGAGTACGTCACTGGCCACGCTGTCCATGCCGTTCCTCTGACTCAGCGACATCCAGTGCATAACCCCGTACTCTTGCCAGTATTTTGTTCTTGCACGCTGCCAGAGAATGGTTACCTGGGTCTCTCCCGGGGAGAGGGGCAGGGGGGGCGGATTGGGGGAGACTTGGAAACATGGCTAATTGATTGCCTATTCCATCGCCCTGGCCCCAACGGTCCATGATCCTGAAATCCCAATTGTGCCTGCCCCATGAAGGTAAAACAAATGGTACTACATGTACAAGTGTCATCGTGGGATGCTAAGTAGCTCATTGTTCATTAGTATTTGTATGCCTGTTTGTTCTCGCTATGCTTTGTAGCACCTAAGCTTTCCAGCACTAAAATATCACCTCATGTACATGACATGTACACCATCTTCTCGGCTCTGGGCTACTGGTGCGTGGCTCCCAGTCCTCCCAGTCCAGTCGGCTTATCGCCTGCACTGTATGGAAGGTTAGCGCTACTGTTTCCCCCCTCCTCACCTCGCTCCTCCTTAATCCGCTTACAAATGGCCAGCTGTAAACATGAAAAAAGCATGTGAACTCCCTATCCTTATGTTCAGGCTGCCTGCTTTTGAACCTCGAGTTGCCTGATGATGATGATGATCTTGAGTCACTCTGAGTTGCAACATAGCTTCTTCCTTTCTCTCTGACTGTGTGCAAAGCTCAGCCTCATGCCATGGGCACACTTCGGGCAGTGGAATACTTGTGTACGTTCGTATGTACATGTACCTTTACTAAGGCTTTAGACTTACGTAGATAAGAGTACTACCAGCTGCATACCCTGCCTCAGTTGTGATCATGTCACGTGATTTTGGCACTTCTCGCACTTCCTGCCCATTCCCCACGCGTACATGTACAATGACATAGATGTACGTCTTGCTTTGCTGTCCACCAATCCATGGTCCACCTGGTCAACCATGGCATGGCATGATCCTGATGGTGGTCGACATGTCCTTCACTTCAATCCTTGAGGGGAGGCGGGCCATGGATGCGGCCCGGATCTACGACGAGCTGCTCCAACCGTACCCTGACATGCACATGTGCATACACTCTTGTCTTTCATTCAAACAAATCTTGAACAATTCTATGCTTAGAAAATTAGAGGTTGAACTCACCTGAGAGTTTTCAAGAACTGTCCGGTCCTGCCTGGTGCCCTCGCAGTGCAAGCAGCAAGTACGCCAGCAGCAGTTAGTTGTTCTTGGTTATTTGTTGGCAGGCTGTTGGGTTCGCCCCGACTACCGCTCTGTTCTAAAGTCAGTTCAGCTGTGTCTGCTCTTCAACATGGAGACGCGACCTTAGTCTATTTCCGCCAGGCCTGATGCGTGGACAGTACTAGAAGAACATGTTCGGACTGCGGTGTTCCCGACACACGGCTGTCCGTGCGGGAAGCGCGAGAGGCCTGGTCTGGTACGCAAGGCGAGCAGCGTCTTCACACCTCCGCACATCCATCTGTGCGCATCGCTTCCCGTTTGAACCTTTGCAAGGAATCCCGAGTCCAAGAGCACAGCATCTAGCCCTAGATGTACCAAGTCCATCGAAGAGGTTCACTAGCACAGCGACAGGGAATGAGAGCGTACCCGATTCCGTCAGGGAAGCGCTGGCTGCGATTGAACGCAAAGAAGAGGGAAAGGCTCGGGCAAAGGTCGACCTAAGATCATGTTTATTTGCTGAATGCAGCGGCGACAGCGATAGCGGCGAGCATATGAGCAAGGTATTCAGCTCTGGTGCGGATGCGGTGGCCCTGGACGCCTTCGCTCTGAACGATAATGAGGAGCTGGCGGACGTTGTGCTAGCAGCTGCTGATGCCATTCAGTCCGGCGCTACACCGGCGTATCAACTTCACTTCCTGCAGGTAGATGCGAATGTCACAGAGGACTCGCCCGTGTTGCCTAAGCCCTCCGAGCGGCAAGAGCGCCTAAAGAAACGACTGCAATCTTTCTTGTCAGCAAACAAGCCAGTCGACGGCAAGAAGAACGGCGGCCGTGCATTTGACGGTCTTGTGCTGCGAAATATTCAGAATGCGGCGGACGTGGGAGAGGTGGAGAGAATGGTGGAGGAATGCGATGCCTGGGCAACTGAACACCAAGAACAGCGCCTGACATTCATTCTAGTCCTGGAGAGTCCACTGTCATACTTCGCCAGCCTGCAGATAGCGGAGTCGAGTGACCGCACTATTGCCATAGTTGGTAGCTCCCCGTTGTTTTCCGAGAGTGTGGAGTGCCAGGATAACAGCCACAACGAAACCATCATGGCAATGAAGGTGAGAAACCCTCTACAAAGTTCCAAACCTGTACTACTGTAGATCTACCCAGTGCTGATTCAACTGGAGACCGTGTAAGCTCAAAATAATCTTCATTTTCATTCATTAGGTTCTGCGGCTTGCATGCTCCATGGAGATGACTACAGACGGGGGGGGGGGGGGGGGGGATTACACGTACAATGACTTGCACTGCCCATACCAGAGATTGATTTGCACTTACTGGATTTAGTCTGATCAGGATCATAGCATGGCTATGAAGTGTAGCAGTGCCTCCAAACCTCCAAACCTCAAAAGATCAATGTCTAGACTCTACAGTGTACATGTAAGTCATGATATCAACAAGACACGGTGCAAAGCTAAGAGTGCAAAACATGACCGCCCGATCACACACACACACAAAGATGCGCAACAAAGCGTTGTGGACCCTGGCTAGCGCCGGACACCACTAACAGTGACGTGTTTTGCATAGCTACAGGAAGCTACAGGAATATTTAAAGAAACATGTTGGTACTGTCAGACCTCGCTAAACCGCACACATCCGTTTTCCACAAAAAAATATCCGGATAGGCGAGGGAACCGGATAGCCGAACACCAGTTATGTTGGATGCATCACGTATGCTGTACATGTAAATCTGTAACCAGCAATTTTCTTCCGGATGGTGAGAGATCCGGATAAACGAGGACCGGATAAGCGAGGTCTGACTGTACTCGTTGGCGTAATAGCATCCTCTGGTTGTGGTGGTCATTGTGCTGTTTTGACATTGCCAGTACCCGTACATATACACCTGTGGTAAGAGAAATATGGGCCAGTGAATAGGGCACGTGGCATGAGTACACCGTGTACTGTACGGTACTCGTATTGTATTTACCCGTGAGTTTTTCCCATGACATTGTGAGCTGGGAAAAGCCGAGTTTTGGCCAGGAGCCGGCAGAAGCCATAGTGGATTTTCTCAGTTTTCGTATTGACGACGACGACAACGACGACGGTGACGTTAGGAATGTCAACAATAACACGACATTGAGCAGGCATACATTTACAGTGAAACCTGTCTAAGACGACCGCTCAAGGGACCTTCAAAATATGGTCTCTGATACCAGGTGATCTCCTTATCCAGGGTCATTTGACTGGAAATAGCTTCCCTAGGTCCTGGTTGCAGTGGTCTTCTAGGACAGGTGGTCACCTTATCCGAGTGGTCGCCTTGACAGGTTTGACTGTACATGCAGAACCAACGGGTCATCAAGTTTGCAACATGTCGGTTCTGCTCAATCTGATGGTGATACACTGTACTCTACTCCTATTCACGAATCGAAGGTGTCATCGACACTGGCTGCACACACAGCGGGTATTGTATCGCTCAGTGGATGGCAGAGTGGCGATGAAGACCCAGCACGTCTCAGTCGACTCGCAGTCTCGGACAGGAACACTGGGATAGATGGAAAGGTAGGACACGGCGGATATGCATGTTGATCTCGGGTGCAATTATACTGACGCCAAAATCGGACACCTATAAATTCATCCTTCAATTCTATTGTGAGTTACCAATTCTGAAACCTTTTGTCAAGTATTTGAACATGTTCTACTTTGTTCTGGGCCTTCTAGCGCATGAAACGTGACGTGTTCAGATGCAGCATGATGAGTACTGTAAGACCAGATATTTAAACGTCAATCAATGTTAATGATCTCCGGATTTTTGTGGGTTAGCGACGTGAAATTCTAACGAATTCCGTCTCAAAACCAGCAAATGATTGTACATGTACATGTCATTTTGCTTATAACGACTTCAAAGTTAACGATTTTCTTAAATTCGTTAAATTGTTAGAATTAAATGTTCGTTAACATTACTGGTCTTATAGTAGTCCTGTTGCAAGAATTGTTTTTTGAACAGCGCTTAGCGGGTTAGCATGCATGTCAGCACTTCCACCCATCAATCGAGCACATAGAGTTGACAGATATGCAAAAACAAGAAATATAAAAACGGGTTGGGTGACATGCAAACTGTTCTGCAGTGGTTGTTGCCTATCTCTCTTTTGCCAATGAAGAAACAGCCCTATGTTGCCATGGGGATAGGCGTTTGCGTTTAAATTCAGGATGTGTCTCTCTTGGTTATGCTTGTCGTTAGCTCGGATTCATTTCACTGCATTCTTGTGCTGTGTGGTGCAACAGGTGATCTTGAATCGACCAGACCTGGTTCCATTTGTCAACCATTTGTACACAATTCCTGAGTTAGAGGTTAGTCAGTGATCAGTCATGCCAGGGTTTGAACAAACAAGCAAGCAAAACCTGCAGATCAGAAAGGGTTTACATGGAGTTGCCTACACCATCTATGAGGCAGCATTGCAAGCAGCTGGTCGTATAGTGCAATGCTATCTTGATGTGCTGTGCTGGGTTTTTTTTAATGCGAGTGATCGGTTTGCAGGCGACCCTTGCCCAAACTTTGCAACATCATAGACTATTACGGTGATGTGATAATTTCTAGTTCCAGCGCGATGCTGCACGAGTTCCCCTTATGTTAACACCTTAGTTATCTCAAAGATTCAATTGTTCTCAGCTGCCTCACTTACCCAGTCGTCCTGAGTATACAGGAGTGCCATTCAGAGTGCCTAGCCATTCAGTTGTACACATTCTTCACCGATGAGATCACCTTCATAATTGGAAAGGTGGTTTACTCTAAAAGGCTGCCCGAAGGAAACAGTATGAACTGTAACTTAAGAGAGTTGTGCAACTTGCTGGTGTGATGAACCAGATCAACCGGGGTGTCCCGTTGAATGTGAAAAGAACAGCATTGTAGATTCTAAAATGCCTGCTTGTCACGCTACTGGGTCGTTGCTGCAGATTCAGTTGGCAGATGAGCTCGTCGCCATTGACGGTGGCACGACACGGACAGGGAAGCACAAGGAGAATGCTGCTCTGGTCGGTGAAGACTCTGAAACAGGAGTACGGCAGTTCAAAGGTCAGGTTCTCCAGGCGCGTAGCACCACCGTCGGAGGGGGTCCAGGGTCTCCCCGTGAACATTTTGAAAATGGGATGAACAATCCTGCATTCTGGGCGAAAAAGTGGTCCGGCCAAAGCAGGACCTGTTGCACCCCTGTTCTGATATCCCTTTCCCCAACGCTGAAGATGCCCCCATGTCCATTGTCATTGGTGTGTTTTATCATTGCTCTTGGTTTTACCGGAACGTGTGAAATGCAGTCGGTGCGCTTGGATGGCGACATCAGCACTGCCATGTATTCCAATTTTCGAAACACTCCGAGTTGTGCTGGTCTTTTCGACAAACCGAATGAAAATACTCAAATGACTTTCACATGATGGTATGCCAGAGTTAACTTTATCTGTTCTGGATCGATGCACAATCAAGCTCTACTGCACGACGCATGCTCAGTACCCTACGGCAGAGCCTTCCACGCAATAGAGAGTCGTGACACAGCTTCCTCTCTCCCCATTGTGATATGGACCATGATCATCTTTCGAGAATGCTAGATTTCTGCGGAAGGTCTCCGCCCTTCTGCACCCACCCAGTAAACCATCGCTAGGGGACACCCTCAGGACCCCATTCCGACCTTTGCCCCGCTCAAGAGTGACATGCCTGCCTATAGTTTCACACATGGGACAGTTGGGCAATCCTGTTTCTGCTTGAAACACAAACCTCGTCTTGATTGCATTAATGCAATGTCGTGTGCACGTGCAGGGCCACCACACAAGGCCATGGCTAAGGCACTGCTAAGGAAGTGGAAACTACAGCAGCCAAAGTTGGAAGAGGCCTCCAGGCTGGTCCTCAATCAGACGGGTATGGAGGTGCCCTCGTTCATACGTGGACGTCTTGTCGATCGCGTAACGCATGAACGACTACAGGTAAAGTACAGTAAAACCTGTAACTAAAGACCACCGTGACTAGCGACCACCGTGACTAGCGACCAGCCTGGTACTACCGACCACTTCGCCAGTCACGGACGGTCTCACATTCAAAATGCACTGTGACTAGCGACTACCTGCTGCACGCGACCAGCGACCGTCTTTTCTTGCCCCAAAGATGATTATTGACCCGTAACTAGCGACCGCGATGTACGAAATAAAATGTTGCTCAAAGCTCCTTCTTGAAAATTTGCTGATTTTCCATGGTCCTGAAAGGACTCTTTCGATACTACAGCTGAACAAATGAACACAGATCATTTTGACTGTGGAATCGATGTGGACTGCACTACACCTGTCCAAATTTCAAGCTCTGTCAAGAATAAACACGATAGGAAACGTCTTGGACAGCGCATCAAAAGCGCTCTCTGATCGATGTTACTACTCGGAGGAGAAACGAAGACAGAGCGGCTCTGACACCCCAGTCATACAGACGAATCGATGATGGCATCAAGGAATCCAGAAACAAAGCAGCACCGCAAGGTCCTGATGCTGAAGGATCGCGTTCAAGCAATCGAGAAGTTACAACAAGGACAGTCGGCACGCTTGATCACATGAACAAATTTGAAGCCCAGCGTAAAACGAAACTTCTACAGGGAACGTTTGACTCCTGGTTTTATAAGTAGCAGCTGAATTTGCTGTCTGCAAAAAGTAGTCTTCCCCCTCTGTCTCTCTCCGTCTCTCTATCTCTCCAAGTGTTGTTTCACCTGAAACAAGAATGGCATTGCGCAAGTCCTGGGGAATCGTATTACTATTAGCTGCATTTTGACATACATATCATATACGGTAGTGTTGAAACGAGCGTATCTATAACAAACGAGCGATCTGTTCCACTAACGAGCAAGCTATCGAGCGAGCTAACGAGTTTCATTGATGTGGCAAATATGATTTTTTGAATATTTTTTTTTCTAAGTTCCATTTTTTTCAGCTGGTTCAAATTATCATCGCCGGCATTTGGGGTTGCTGCTGCTTCACTTCGGACTGCTGTTTGGTGTCGAGATGTCTTTTCAGCGCCGTCGTCGAGTAGCCTTTGTAAGAATAGACCGTTTTGCAAAGATTGCAAGTAGCCCTGGTCTTCGCTGCATCGCGGGAGAAAACTTCCAAACGACTGAGCGTAACTATTTTACTTTCACTCGAATGGAGAGGTGACCGAAGCATATCCTGCGACAGGTCAGCAGATGCGGAACAAGACATCAGTGGAGTCCACCAAAGCTGCAACGACAACTGAACCAACTCAAGTGTCTTGCAGGCATACAGTCACTGTAACTGCGAGTGATTTTCACTTTGCGCGGGACTGGACTCTCGATCGACCAGGGAGTCGTAAAAATTAATATGTTACGACTCCCTGGTCGACATGTACTGCCATGTGTACGGAGTACGGTGTATGGTGTTCGTTAATGCAAACGAGCTGGCCGCACAAACGAGCCGAGTTTCTGGCGAGCGAGCTAACGAGTATCCGGTGAGATCGTTTCAACACTAATATACGGGATCCGTATATGGTCGCGCAGTGCAAACCTCTAACTAAAGACCACCTGCCACTAAAGACCGCTTTTGCTGGCCCCAAGGGGTGGTCGTTAGTCACAGGTTTTACTCTACATGTAGTCTATATCTTGTCATGGGACCTAGCAGACATTGTGCACCCGCTGCATCATCTCCAACCTGGATAGCACATTGGGCAACTGCGCATTGTATTAGATTTATAGGATGTCGTGATAGACTGCGGAAATGGTATTATCTGAAAAATCTTTAGCAGGTGTGAATTGAGGGGAGGATAACCCAAAGTACATAGTTGGCGCCCTCCACTCGCATGCCCCTTGGTGGCCTGGCAGTGGCACGAATGCGCCTGGACATTCATATGTACATGTAAAGTGGTGTTATCGTAGGGCGTTAGTTTTGCATCTTCGGCCGGCTTTCAGTGAGCGCAGCTATCGTGTTAGCTGTGCTGGACATCAGGTTCTAGTACAGGTACAGTCAAACCTCGTTAGGATGAACTTCAATGGACCGAACAAGTTTTTTTGTCTTATCCGGAGTTCTTCTTATCAAGACTTCACTAAAACATTGATATGCATATCATACGGATTGTATTTATGTGAAGGTGCGTGCTGTGGCAAATGTAACACATTTTTTCATAACATAACCCAGCAACAGGTAAGTACAATGTGCAATGAATTCATGACAGCATGTCCGCCGCCTCGTAACATGTTTTGCCAGTACAAGAGGCCTCGGCTATCGGAAAAAAAACTATACCCAGCGCACCCACGGGGATCAAAAGTTCGTACTACACGCTGATTTTGTTCAAATCACGCTTGAAGTTAGTTCGTCTTCAAGAAAATTCGCCATAAAGGAGTTCGTCGTAAGCGAATAATTTGACTTGATATGATGCCTGGCCAACCATAGGATTGGCCCTAGTTCGTACTGAAGGAAAGTTCGCCTTATCAGTGTTCGTCCTAATGAGGTTTGACTGTACCCACCTTCTCCTTGTAACCTTAGTCTTGTGTGATCTTCTACAGTAATATGATGATGTACATGTTCTATAGTAATATGATGATGTACATGGCAATCATGAATGATTACTAGTATCAATAGTACTCATAAAAAGGACAGACTTCAGGCTCATTACGAACATCTTGAAAGTTTTTGCAAGCAGAAGCAAATTAAATTCACACTTAGGCTGTTAGGTAGGTCGTCGAAACCTCGTTAGTTATGTCCAGTGGTTGTCTCTTGTTGTCGCACTACATGTGTCCTTTTTTTTAGTATATCGCATTTTTGTCTCAGAGGAAACTGTTTACTTAGTATCAATAGTGTGTACCCATGACTCCCCATGATTATTTAACTGATATTCTAACTTAACTGACATTCTAACTTGTCCAGGTTGGCGATGTCATACGGTGTCCATACGAGCTGACTATAGATGAGAGCTGGATCACTATGTGGCACATGCTAGTGTACAACCCGCGCACGTCCGAATTCAGCGCCAAGCACAAGTCCAGGCTGGGAACGCATCGTCCAGTCTTGCCGTATGCACTAGCTCAGCTCCTGTGCATAGGCCTATCCGTGTCCAAGTGAGTAGTGATCATGGTGTATGCATAAGGAAGCTGGTTGCTCCCACACTGGAGCTCTCGCTTTCCCCGCCAACATGATTTGACACTTGACTTTCGTATTGTTGTGTGTACAAGTATGATATTTCCCCGAATAAAAGTCGCACACCTTTTTACATAAAAATCAAGGTAAAAAGGGGATGTAACTTACAATCGAGCAATGAATTACTATTGAAGTCAATATAATATGGATCAAACCTGAAAATAGGGGGTGCGACTTACAATCGAGTGCAACCTGGGGAGATACGGTATATGCACATGCATGAACAAGGGCGTCGGCAGGTATTCTAAGGTGATACAGCCAAGCCACTTGAAGTACAATTCACTCAATGGAGATGGCTGTGCAGAACAAATTCGAAAATTTTGAAACCAAATCAGTGCATTTTATTGTTTCACGTGTTACCTGTGGGCAAAGGGTGGTGCGGTCAATACCGTAGTGACTGTAGCATGTCTAACGCCGCTGTGTAATGCCACACTATGCAACCCTCGAGAGCTTTCTAACACAGAAGTCAGAATGATTTGCCGTAACTCGGCAGACTAAGCCACTTCACAGCCAGCAGACTAAACCACTTGTTTGCCTGTGTATGTGCGCCGCCCACAGACTGACGGAGAAGGCACGTTTTCACTTGGGTACGTACGACAACATCATGGTGAGGCCGCTGGAAGCCGGAGACATGTTTCGCTCGTTTGTGCGCGTGGACAAGAAGAGCTGGACGGCTGACGGCTACCTGGTCCTGGACACCACGCATGTCCTGGTCAATCAAGGTACAGTGGCCCATTGCAATACATATCGGCATCCACTTTTTCTATTCTGCTGTGATGGCTTTCCGGTGGCCATGTCTGTTTGCAATAGTTTAGCCCTGCAGACACCTCATAATCTTGTATACTGGAGGCAGGTGACATCCCACCTTGTGAATAGAGCAGAGCAATGTTCACTGTTACTGTGAGATGCACACACCTAGGGCCATGTAGTCGCAGTAGTCGTCTTGCTCATGAGGTCTGCACGTATATCATATCTGAAGAGTTCCCTCTGGTCTACTTGTTTCATGTGTACTTTGATGATGTCACCATGCCATCATGATGACATCATACTGATCATAGTGCCATGGTGATGTCCTGAGGATGAAGTGATGTTCACAGGATTATTCATCTTGCAGCTATCTTGCTTTATCTGCAATGTGTTGCTCGTCCTGTTCCAGATGACAAGCTTCAGTTCAGTTCACGAAAGAAAACAATGTTTCCATCTAATCCGAGCGAGATCAATTCTGAAGCTGGCAAATCTCTGGCACCAACTAAGCTGGTGAGAACCTCAATCCCCTGCAAGTCAAAAAGACCTAACTGGCAGCATACATATCAACCAATCACATCCACTACAGCTGTCTAGCCTAGCTTTCATAACCAGGGTTGTGAGATGGATTGCGGAAAGTAAGGCTACAAAGCATTTCAGTTGTATAGCAAAGGTTTAGATTCATGCATGGGGCCTCTCCACCCGGTGCAGTGTCCTGGGTCATCTCCACCTGGTACAATGTCCTGGGTCATCTCCACCCGGTACAATGTCCTGGGTCATCTCCACCTGGTACAATGTCCTGGGTCATCTCTAGGGGTCAAACGGGTGTACCGGTTACCCGGGTACCCGCCCGTTAATCTCAGGTACCGTTAGTAAAAGGGTACCCGTTTGTAAAAAAAAAAAAAAAAAAAAAAAAAAAAAAAAGGAGCTTGGATTTCGATGATCCTACTCGTAGATCTACTACTAGTACTCTTTTCCTTTCTCCTGTGCATTCCCGCTTTCGACTTTGTCAGGCAGGAACAGGCTGAAAGACAGTCGTTCTCTCCACTCTAGTGCAAGTAAAACTCCTCGTACTGGACGTTTTTGATTGCGATGTGAGAAAATGCAAGACTTGAAACTCGTTCAAGGAGGTGGCAGCTGCTGAGTTACTAGAAACTTAGTAGAAAGTTATGATGGTTCTCCGACATCATTATGTATGGCAGCTGAGTTACTAGAAAGTTACGATGGATCTCCGACATCGAACCTGCCACAGTACTTGAAGATGAACTAGTGTCACCAGGCTGAGTGACCAGTCGGAGTGTCACACACGGTGATGTCCGTAGGTGGTAGCTATGATACTCATGGTTGTAGTTTGTTCCTTCATTTTCAATCGACGAACTCGGTTTAGTTGAAAAGTAGTTCGAAATATTGCATACAAGATTACCGGGATTTGTGAAGATTCGTTTCACGAGTTCAACGAGCTAGCACTAGCAGCTAGCTGGCCAGCAGCAAATCAGCTGTGTCAGGCACCCCAGCTAGCTATGGGTGCGAACATCTTCTGAATACGAAGAGTACCAGTTCTCTGCGAACATAGCAAAATAGGATCGCGCGAGATCACGGAAGTTTTGCTAAACTACTCTGTCCTTGCATGGCTTGAATCACATCCGTCTGCAGTTGATTTTTTGCGTACATGTATCAAAATACATGTAGCACGAGGACCATGTACGATTGTAACTGCCTGTGAAGTTGTGTACATGGGCAAATGTACGGATGACATTCATTTGGAACTTCATTGCCATAATATAATTATGAGACACGAATCATAATGTGGTATCAAAATACAACCTGAGAATATACAAATTTAAATCATGATTTATGTGAGAAATGCGCAAAATATTAATATGGCTGCTAAAGAGTACCCGTTAACCCGCCCGTTAAAAAAATTACCCGTTCGTTAGTTAAAGGTACACCCGTTTGACCCCTAGGTCACTCATCTCCACCCGGTACAGTGTCCTGGGTCATCTCCACCCGGTACAGTGTCCTGGGTCATCTCCACCCGGTACAGTGTCCTGGGTCATCTCCACCCGGTGCAGTGTCCTGGGTCATCTCCACCCGGTACAGAGTCCTGGGTCATCTCCACCCGGTACAGTGTCCTGGGTCATCTCCACCCGGTACAATGTCCTGGGTCATCTCCACCCGGTACAATGTCCTGGGTCATCTCCACCCGGTACAGTGTCCTGGGTCATCTCCACCCGGTACAATGTCCTGGGTCATCTCCACCCGGTACAGTGTCCTGGGTCATCTCCACCCGGTACAGTGTCCTGGGTCATCTCCACCCGGTACAGTGTCCTGGGTCATCTCCACCCGGTGCAGTGTCCTGGGTCATCTCCACCCGGTACAGAGTCCTGGGTCATCTCCACCCGGTACAGTGTCCTGGGTCATCTCCACCCGGTACAATGTCCTGGGTCATCTCCACCCGGTACAATGTCCTGGGTCACCTCCACCCGGTACAGTGTCCTGGGTCATCTCCACCCGGTACAATGTCCTGGGTCATCTCCACCCGGTACAGTGTCCTGGGTCATCTCCACCCGGTACAGTGTCCTGGGTCATCTCCACCCGGTACAGTGTCCTGGGTCATCTCCACCCGGTGCAGTGTCCTGGGTCATCTCCACCCGGTACAGAGTCCTGGGTCATCTCCACCCGGTACAATGTCCTGGGTCATCTCCACCCGGTACAGTGTCCTGGGTCATTTATTTATTTATTGCAGCATCTCATAGCACAGTGAGAACACCGGCCAATACAAAGAGAGAGGGTGTTAGCCAACCACGGCAAGGAAGGGAGAAGGGGAGGAGAAGAAAAAAGGAACCGGCATGGATAAGTAGTGATTGCAACAAAATGAGAAACACAAAATCAAAGTCAAGGCGCGACAAGGCTCTTAAAAAGGCGGAGGGAAGAAAGGTCCTTAGCTCCTTGGGGAAGTGCCAGCCACGCGGAGTACGCAGTGAAAAGGGGAGAGTGAAGTAGAAAGGAGGACTTGGGTTTCGGAAGGGAAAGGGAGTTTCTCGTGCTACGGGAAGAAAACCAGTTGAAACAGTGGAGGTGAGGTGGACACAGATTGAGTTTGAGAGAATGGATAAGGGTGACAAGATGTGAATTACGTCTCTTAGACAAAGGGGTAGTGTGAGCAAGGGCATAAAGGGTGGAAGATGGGAGCATGCGGGGTTTCCATCTCCACCCAATACAGTGCCTGGGTCATCTCCACCCGATACAGTGTCCTGGGTCATCTCCAGCGGGTACAATGTCCTTGATCATCTCCACCCGGTACAGTGTCCTTCGGTCATCTCTTCCCAATACAGTGGCATTGATCTGAGACAAGTAGACATCCAATGGACTGGCCAAAATTTTCCACATTTCAATGCTATCGCCCATTTTAGAGGTCTTAACTTGCCTCCAGTGGACTATTGAAAGGTGTCCTCTATGTCCTGGCTTCCATACTTCTTGCCGTCCTGATTTAGGACAGGCTGGCAGCACTCTAGGCTGAAAAGCAGCAGTTACTAAGGTGAGTGTCGGTGTGTTTGTATTGCAGGTCAAACCTGAGTCAAACGTTCGTCAACATCTCCTCGCCAGGCCTCTAGCTGAGCTGATGGCAACCCAAGGTCAACAGCAAGCAATCTTGGAGCCTGGCCAGGTGTTTGTCCATCGTCTGGTGCGCTACCTCGACAAATACGACTGCATATACTTCAGCAATCTGTGTCGCCTCACCAATGACTTCCACATCAACTTCTTCAAGGTAAGGGTAAAGTTTGACACGCACATAGGAAGTGATTACAGCGTAACTAGTTGAATATAATTATATTCAACATCCTACAGCATGCAATCAACTTGCAGCTACCCAAAACTAATCATGAGCGGTAAGAACCAACGCTGAGAACCAGCCATGCATAGTAATACGGATACGCCAAACCAGAAGCACCAGGGTCATCACAATATCGCATACTGATATCATGATTGATACATGTGCCTCCGAGGTCATCTGGAACTTTTGAATTTGCATCTTCTATAATTCCTGTCCAGTAGTTGGGCGACCGTTGTTAGTTCATCTGCCTCATTCCTCTTTCCAGTGCACTGAAACAGTCGAGTACTCACTTGCCGTGTTGTTCCATGCAGTATGAGACCGAGCAGTTGATAGTGCCCGGGCCACTGGTCATGTACTGCGCCATTGGCAACTCTCTGCCAGACCTCGGTGAGCAAATCTACCACGAGCTGGACTTGGGCACACACATCAACAAATTCAGCCCGGTAAGTCGCTTGACGAGCATTTTGACCAGTACATGTACTCACACACGTTCTCTTTGCAGCAACCAAGGAGTACATGTAGTACAATACAATAACTACTCCCTGGCTGCAACCGCCATTCTGGATTCACTAAATTTTCAGCCAGCACCCATCCTCAATGTGAAACAGTTAAAAAGTAGATGTAATGTGCAAATGGCTGCACTGGACTTTGCCAACCCTTGGAAAAGTCATTCTGACTCTACGTTTGAAATGACTGTCATTAAGAAAAATTGCCAGTGATACAAACAACGACTTTTGTTGCTAAATCCCAAATCTTGTATGTATCAACTTGTACAGTCGGGTGATAGGGTCAACTATCAGTGCTTTGTGAAAGGTCTGCTGTTATGCACTACTGAGGGATGCCATCCTATTGATGTTTGCATGCTATGTATGTGTGTACTTGTCACGTCTGTTCAGGGTGACAGTGTTGGTACGATTTCGTACATAGCTGACGTGAAGACTCTGCCTGAGAATGACGGTAAGCACATTCAGCTGGCCGACCAAGCTGCGACTTTCTCAGTGTTCACGCAAATACCAGTCGACGTGCACAGACAGAATGGTACCGCCTTCGCTGCCATCCAATCCCTGGGGGAATGCCATTGATGATGGCTATTGTGTATCACTGCAGTAGTAACTGACTGGATGTTCAGGTTTTGATCAGAGCACGTTTTAGTCATCCAAGCAGTTAGTGCCACACAAAGTAGACCGATTTGTCTTCATCATATTATAGTATGAGTATCCTGTACATATCATAATTATGTTGCTTAGACAGTCTTCACAATTGACCACATCAGGTGTGCCCGGAGTGTTGCGCACCTGTTTCTGGATTACATTATGGAAAACGACGGGGGTACCCAAGCATTGGCACAGAGTATCTTTTTCCCCACGTGCGCCCTTGTACCATGCACCAAGATCTTTTTGTAGACTGAGACGCCCATACCCCGTCACGCCCATATCACACCCGGCCCAACACATCCTCGTGTTTCCTAATGGCTCGATTTCAATTTCCCCACATACACCTGGCAAATTGAAGAGTCTCGCACAACACGCATTACGCATGCCTACATTTGTATTTTTGACTAGATTTGCAGCAGACACTTCCAAAGTATTTACGAACCGATGGCCGGCAGAATTCACTTCCTGTTCCCCAACAGCAGCCAATGAACACAGATCATACTCATTTCACCTCAGAGTGGCACCACGCTGAAACAACCAGCTGATCTAGCCCCGTGATATTCGTACAGTCCACTTCGCCGTACGATTAGCACGGTGTGATTTCAGCCACACATACTCGGTCACGAGGCATTCATTCCTGGCTTCAAATCAGGGTGTGGTGCTCTTGCGGAACTTAACGGTAATTGTTGGGCTGCTTCTTTTGGCTAACTGCATGTAGCTCTGGAAGAAGTGACGATAAAGCAGATCGGGATCAAGAACGTGGACATGGAAATGCTTGCCAATGAGTGTCTGCCGAAAGCGCTATTTGCGCTGGACCTTGTACGTCCGTCTGACTATGAGAAGGTACGTGAGGATAATCGAGCCACTTAAGCCATTACATATACAGCCTTTAAGAAGGCATGGCTAAGGTCGAGCAAATGAGCATTGCCACATTCGACATTAAAAGCCCATGGGTCAGAGTGCTCGTACTCTGCGGCACCTAGCACTCATACATCTAGGCACGTACTGTGCGGCACCCAGCACTCATACATCGAGGACCAGTAAAGTTACTGTGCGCTCATCACTATAGTCAAGTGAAAAGGGAAAGAGATGGTTGCGTGAGAAATCCAATCAAATTAGAGCTGAGGCACGTGCAACGCGTAGCTGCGTGACTCTACTTTGGTCCAGCCAATCATCGTTGCACACCTCATTGGCAATACCTCATGCTTTTCTGCCTTGAAAAAGGAGTTGACCAGCTGAAAACTGGTTGGGCCAAAGTCCAACCAGCCATACTGGTTGCCACACCCCTGTTTTTTTGGCACACTCCAACTAACTACCCCAGTTTCAACTCATCTCTTCTGACCACTGGGCCACGTGCTTGTTCAACCCAGCACTAATGCTACCGAGTAAAGAACTGGACTATTGTTTTTCCCTTATCGGTTAACAAGGACACGCACTTCCAGTTCCTCCCGTGGATAAGTGTCTGATCACACCATATCATCAAATTGTTGTGGATGGCAAGCAAAGGGACTTTTCTCCACGTCCAATTGCAAACTATTGTCTCCCCCGTTGCTTATTCAATTGCATCCCTGTGCCAATGTTACGAATGACCACTAAAGGGACATTTCCCCCACATCTAACTGCTGTACTGTGCCAATGTTGACTGCAATTAGGCAATCAGTAAATTGGAGCTATTTAGGCCGCAATGTATGTGTCACTGGGCAACCAGTTCGCTGTCCATCTAGGACTGTTATACACTTGTGGCCTGTCTCTATGGGCTGAGCATGTAACCTAGCTCCAGGCAACCATTCGTGTCATGTAACCTGGCTTCAGGCAGCTATTCGCAAATGTCATGTGAAATGGCTCAATGCAACACCAGATTGCCGACTAAACACCTTAGTATAGATCTTGTGCAACACATCCACACTGTATGACTTATGTGAGGCTTGCAGCAGCTTTCGCATAGTTATATAAAGGATATACTGCATCAATCCTGCTGGCTGCTGGCCAGTAGGGATTTTAGGGCGGACATCTATTCTCAAGACATTTTCATGGGACCATACCACTAATCTTAGGTGTGCAAGCTGAACTTGAACAGGTGAGCGAACGATATTACCAAAAAAGAAAACAGGAACATTTGGGGCACAAGCCAAAGAGTTATGGGCACATATTGTTCAGGTCTTGAATAGCTGTAACGTGCAAGGACAAGGGTGATGAGTACTGTAACATCGGGTGGCCTGGCACTTAGCTCAAGTACGGATTGACAGTGTAGGTCAATGAGCTACTAGTATTCACAAAATAATATGTCTCATAATAGTATCAAAACACAGAAGTGTGATCATTCTACTACCCCTGGTCTTACTTTTGATCTTAAAACCATAAAGTGATAATCTTACTGCCTAAGTTGATAATCTTACTACCCTAAGGTATGATAATCTAGCTAATCAAGAAGCGCAACCTTAACTTCCTGCTGTACTAGCTTGGGAAAAAAACAGTACTGTCATGATTATTGTCTCCAACAACTCCAAAATGACTACAAGGTCTTGTAAGTCTGGGCTCAGGGCAACAAACAATGGAGTACACTAGTAACTACATGTAACTCCCATGCCACACTGAACTGAATAATGCCAGTCTATACCTGGGTGAAGATAGTCGATACATACATTGTATTGCTGGAGCCAGATGCTGTGTTTGCACTGGAGCATATTGATAGGTATGGCCTGATACTGGATGGGTGGAGCGAGGACTCAAGTCGATCCAGTTAGCCCAGGTCTACATTTCTGGGTTGTACGACTGCCTGTGTTTTCTTTTCCTTGTACCTGGAACACTCCGGCTGTGCTGTACTGGGTGGTGAATATCCAGCTGTTCACCTGCATTTCGCATGCAAACGTGTGCTGCTTGTCATAGTACATGTACATGTATTTGTGTAATGAAGGCCGCAAATACACTGCAATTGCTTCAGGGTATAGGTGATGGGTGTGGGTTGATGTCTGAGATGGAACATGAACCGAACGTGTACCTTGGGCTTGGGCGTGTGCTATTGCAGATCTGACCGCACTATACTACTAGCTAGCACTGTGTCCAGTACAACGCATGCATGACAGCAAGGTGTGAGTTGGGTGCTTGAGTGGCCCGATCTCTGATGAATCGAATCGATCATGGCATGATGTGCTGTGCTGGAATGTGCTTAGTGAGGTATCTACCCAGTTGGGGGAGATGGTCTCACAGTCACAGGTGGTATCCTGTTGGCTGTCAGCCCTGCACAGGGCATAGTGACTGAAGCATGATTGTATGAGTGCTGTCATCACAGCATGTCTTAAGTACATGTCATACCATGTGACTTGAGTCATCACCTATTGTAACAATGTGGACATGATCCAGTACATTATTGTAATAGTATTCTACTGGTTGTATGTTTCTCAGGTATACCAAAGTAAACAATCACTAGTCGACTTACACATGTACATGTATGATGGCCTGGCACCTGTCTTAGGAGGGGCCCTGCTTAGTCTGTCTGACCTGTTGAACATGAACATCTCCTTCAGCTAATAAACCCAGCCCACTACTAGCATTTGTGGTTTCCCATCCCTCAGGATATTCTGCATTGCGAAGGTTGCTCACTACAATATGCGTCTCGGCGAAGGCGCATACTGGCAAACCCAACAGTATCAACATGTGCATCGCTGCCCTCTTCGATTCCCATTTTTACCGCCTTCCAAGTTGTTTGGCACCCATTTATTTGGCTTGATGCAGTGACATGCTGATCTGCATTTCAAAATGGCTCTAGGGAAATCCAGCAGCCCATTTGGACAACACACAGTACGGAGGGAGGCACACCCAAAAACTTTGGTTTGAATGGGTACTGAATTGAATTGAATTGAATTCCCTCACTAGTGGGACCATTGTTATTAGGCTAGGGCCTGTTTTGGACTTCCCACTCTAAATAAAGAATACAAATAAAAACAAAACTGCACAATTCAAAAATATTGTGTCGTGCGATAAATGGCATGGGCTAGTGTGCGCTGGATTCAAGTAGAATTGCTGTTTTGTGACTGTGTTGTATTGCTCGTAGATCTGCCGTGCCCACTGTCCAGTCTTGCAGCGGAGAATCGTAGTCATTGTTATCCGCCGCTTCATCCGCGTCAAGCCGAGCGCCATGCAGGCGGCTTACGATGACATTCAGAGCAAGGAGATGCACGCCGTGGTGGAGAACAAGTGGTTTGACTGATCCTAAAGACCATGGAAATTCAGTGCCGAACAGGTGGTTTGACTGATCATAAAGACCACGGAAATTCAGTGCAGCCCTCCACCCTTGCGAGCACAACAAAAGCTGGCTGACACTATAAAAAATATGCCTGGAGTGCATCACAATGGCAGCAACGTCATGGTCACGTGTGTGTTTCTACCTTCATGTAGATGAAATCGTTGATTGATATCATAGTATTAATTTTTGTGTTGATAGATACCCTTGATCGCTTTCTGAATGTAGTCTACATGTAAATCTGGCGTGACTACGTCGCACCACCATCTACCTCTCTTCAGTTAAAACTGTACATAATTATGGATAGAGTAGGCGTTTCATCTGAATGAAATCGGATTCTCAGCCCTGAGCATGAGGGAAAGCCTCTGACAAAAACTGCGTTTTCTCCACGGGCAATCTCTATGTTTTGCCGCATTCTTTAGATACCATTTATTCGCTTTTTGTTCCACCGGATTTTCGTTTGTAATTACAGTCAAACCTCTTTAGGACGAACTTCAAGGGACCGATGATATTTGTTCGCAATAACGGGAGTTCTTCTCATTCATATGTTTTACCCAGTGAATACACAGGGTCTTATCCAATACAGTTACGAATACTAGTTCTTCTTAGGCAAACGTTTGTCTTATCAGTGTTCTTCCTAACCAGGTTTCACTGTACATGTGTATGAATATTGATCGGAACGAAAGTACCCAAAAGCTCAGGGCGAAAAGTGCGTATTTATAATTTATGCTACTGGGAGTAGTACATACAATGCACATGACATGTGAAAAATTGCGCGACAAATTCAGTCACGCTATGTCACATTGTAACATAGCGTGACTGAACTTGTCGCATCTTCCTGTTTTCAAGTAACTCTGTGTCATGTGGATCAAGCCAAGCATGGCCGAAGCACCGAAACCACGGAATGGTGGGAGCATACGCGCATGGCACAAGTGAATTGTCGCTAAGACTCGCTATGGTCATTCTGGCACTAATGCTCTGCAGTAGTATTGCCTTCTGGGACGGGTAACCGAACGAAAGGTGTTCCCTCGTAGAGGAATCATTTACCTCGTCATTGAGCCCTAATTGACCCTCTTCTTACATCCATCCTGATAGGCCTGTCACGAGCACACGGGCAGTGCACACCCCCAGAACGCCTCCCCCCAGCTGCGGCCATTGGCATTGTATTGCCAGGCAGGGAGGGAGTTGGGGCTATCTGGCACGCATTGTTGACAGATTTTTATTGTGACTTGATCAGTGACTTCCAAACTCCTACTGTTTTGCTGTTTTTATCGACTACACTCGTACTCGGCAGTCACCTGAGTCAGCCTATGGCTATGGACAGAATCCCTATTACTGGTAGCACGAATCATAAAACGAAGAGGTACCGGTACTTTTGTCATGAATCAGGATCGGTGGGAGCGCTCTAAGTCTAACGTTAAAATGAACAGAGGATCTCCGTTAGGGCAGTGCATAACCATGCGAATACTGGGACATCAGACCAGACAGTGTGTATTATGTACATGTACAACAGATGATGATGATTGTTTTGTGCAAGCCTATCCTTAGGCTTCAGCCCAAACGAGTGAGAGTAAGTGCCTTCTCAACAACAGGGCAGCAGCGAATGAGGAACTGCACTGTTCTGACATGAACATACGGGTGGAGAAGGAGCACCGACGATGATAGCTGAGCGAAATTATAAGTATTGTGGTATTTTATCGCGGCAGACTGCTTATCCCTACAGACAAATGGCCAACAAAACTACTAATAACGAAGTATTAGAGAAGTACATGTGCTTGTACGTGCAGTACAGTTCCTGACATACTTTTAATATAGTCGATACATTTTTATTGTATTGAGTGATGGAGCTCACTCTCGTTCCAGACTCCACTCGACATGCATGTAGAATAATTGTACATTCATTGTACTACATGTACTTTCTCTAATGCCGTAATGGGTTCACATGATGAAGTTGTGAAGTAACAGTTGACAGGGTATTCGACGAAGTACGGACCAGCACAATAATGATAATTATGGAATGCAGCTGTGATGGTTGCAATGGAGTGGCGCTGTTATCCCGTCAATGTTTGGGGAAAGTGTGTCCAAAGGGTTGAGGATGTATCTACATGACATGTACTTGTACAGTAAATGACATTGCACTTAGAAATACAAAGTCTTCCGAGAATTCCACATGGCTTCGATCCATGCGTTAGAGTAAGTGCTTAGATTGGAAAACGTGCTGGACGTGATAGGATCGACTTCAAGCAATGTTTTGGGGAAGATCAATTTTGCCAGTACGTGACTGTATGGAGTACCCAAGCATGGATCAATGACATGTGGTAGTAATGTCACTTTACACAGCTACTAGTGCATTGTAGTTTGTCCGTGGACGGATTGACATTGACCTTGTAGCTGTCCAAGACAATCATGCCGGAAAATCACAGCCCGCTCCAGATCTCCAGAAGTAAAAATGAATGAGGAGGACACAACAACACCTTGGTACCAGTAGTACTGGTGCTGCTAGTACATCAATCTGGAACTGGAAGTGAGTTTGGACGAGTAAGGCTGGGCACGCGGTGTCAATCAAAGAGTTTTGGGGAAGGTAATGCTGAATAACGTAGACCACACAGACACCATCAGAATCGCACGTATCTCCGAATTATGCATGCCCTTGTAGTGGCTGTACTGGTCGGAAATACCCTGGCGAACGTTTAGAAACGCTTGGGGAAAAATGCCGTGCAAATTCCAGCTCAGAGCTGTCAAATGTCATCAGCTAACTTGACAGGCGATCGCTCCCAAAAACATGTATTTTATCAACAGCGGGTACGGAGTGAGCTGAGCGAGTGTCTTGTATGCGCGTAGACAAACACGTTCGCAACACTGGAAGAACGGACGTACTGAAGTAGATGTGCGTGATCATTATAGTCATGCAGCCGCCAAATCTAGACCTCCAGTTGACAAGTGTACTCCGGTCGTGGGCAGTGCGTGGCTGGGATGTATGGATGTCGCGGCGAGGTGCCGTAGGGGTGGCGCCATAACCCTTTAGAACTTTCTTGGCCCATCCTAGATCCTGTACGCAATGTTTATAAAGCCAACAGCCATGGTTGCGTCCTGTGGAACACGTTGAGATCATGAAAATAAAAATAAAAAATCAATAGGAAATTCAACTCCACATGATCTAGGTGAGTGAGTACGATAATATTATGCTTGTCACGTTCATTGCATACCCGAGTAGCAACGGAAATAGTCTTGCACACACACCGGCCGCCTTGGTGCCTAAAGGTACATGTATGATTCAAGAATACAATCATGTTTGCTTGCACTGTCGCGAGATCAGCACCGCCTGTTAGTGACCCTATTTCACGCTAATGATTATCATGGTGTATGTTTTGCTCACTCCTTTTCCACAAAGCCAGCATGCTATGGAAGTGTGTACCACCATAATCTCACTTCTACAACTTGTCTCCCGAAATTCAAACATTCCCTCGGCCAGCACTATTGCCGATACGATCGCTACACTAATACCACCACATAGCAACTCCTTGACTTTCGGAATTGCTACGGCTGTTTGTTTTCTTTGTTTCCTTTGATGTACCATTGCTTTACTCTCTCCCGAATACGAGTATTAGTTGATGAAATTTGTTTGAGTAGGAGATCCCTCAACAGGCCTAGAGCCTCTGGGTAATTCTAAAATACAATAAATACAAAAAAAAGTAGGCAATCCAATACAATCCAATACATGTAGAATTGCACGTGTACACCAGTACGATGTCCCGTTATTGTGCTAGTTGATACATTACGTTGTAAATCGTTGCGGGTAAGAGAGCGCGATAAAGTAAGTTTGTAAGTAGCGTACAGTCATGTACTGTCATAATATAATTGATTCAGAACGTCATGTTCAACCTACCCCAACTATCATTTTCGCCAGGAACTTGGCACATTCATTCATCTTGGGCACCCTGTAAGAAGACCTTAGGCTCTGTTGGGAATGCCCAAGTAAAATCATAAAAAATACAATACAATACTGTGACATTATACCGTGATTAAAGTTACATAACGTGATGCATGACTGTACAATGTGCTGTCTGGTGATCGCTTCTTTTAACAGCTTCATTTGCCTTTTCTCTCTATAGGTTTAAAAGGCTCCAAACCCAGGTGTATCGAGCCCTCTTTCTCGGGTTACCACAACTCCCTCCAAGTGTAACATGAGTCATTAGTGCAAAATTGTGTATGATGCCATATGGCTTGATTCGAAGACGAATATGGGCTTGGTTGAAACACACACACGCTTCGAACCAGTTAGTTTCGTCCGCGCCATCCCCGAAGCCAGGCCCGAGGCACTCGCGACAAACGGGCCGCTACCACCAGGCACAATTCACCTCGAGATCCATCACATCTCGATGTGCAGTGCTGGCAACTGAAATCCGACCCCTGAGCGGTGCGCTCACATCGCAAAGACCCAACACGGGATTGTAGGTGACAAAGAGCAATGCATGTGCTTTGCACTCGTGGATGTACATTGTGGTTGTCTCCAGCGGAGAACTCATGAATAATTCAGCGATGGCCATCATACTCTTACTAGTCATAGTACGGCAGTAGTAGTACATGACATTGTAGTCCAATCCAGGGTCAGCCGCACTTCATTGTCATTGGCCAGCACAGGAATTTCCGAACTATCATGACAACAACAATTATGGATATGTCCCTATGGGAGTACGTGCACTAGCAGGGTGTACATGCACATGTGCTGCACTAGTTTTATGTGTGACGTTTTTCAAGTGAAGAGATTCATGTATGTGGCCTTGATCACGAGATCATGCGACCTACTCCACATGAGCTAGAGTACGGTCAGATACCAGGGCAGTGCACCCCCTCTATGCCGTATACTATAATAGTAGGTATACTAGGCTCTACAGCCTCTGAGTCTGACGTCTGACCTCTAACTCCACACACTGCACTGATCGTGCTCGCGTGAGTTGCACAGTCATCATTCATCCACTTCACATTTCCACGTTGAATCTCACCCACCTTTTTCCCTAGCCTTCAGCGGTTGCCGGGTGCGAATACGAAAGCAGCGGACTTGGATTCATGCCCCTCAGTCAGCACTTGATCACGGTGCCGATCACTTCACAGAAATAATTAATCATCATGGCCCCTCCGACCGAGAGACGAAAGAAGGCAGTCAAAAGGCGAACAGCGAAGAAACGGGATGTTTCCACGAAGCGAAGCAGCAAGAGATGCACAACATCGTTTTCAAGCCATCATCCTCGGGCACCCAGCAGCCATGAAACACTGGGTCCCTGCAGAGAGATTCCCCGGGCTGTGAGCAATGCGTGTGCGTGCAGAGATAGCGCCAGTCCAGATATCAGGCCTGACGAGACCATGGAGGATGGCGAACAGCGCGTCGCCGGCAAGAGCAGCATGTCTCTACAGTGGGTTAAACCTCCGATCAAGGTACGCTCTACTAGCTGCTAGGCTATGTTCACACTGTTATTTGCCTTAGTACGATGGGTGGTAGGTACCTCCCTTTCCGCCTTCTTAGTCTAGACGATGTCTCTCTAAGTGTTTGTGGAAGCCTGGAATAACTAGGGAATACACGCATGGTCTTCCACAAAGTGTTAACATGACATTACTGTCGCCGATGGCGGAGATCACCAACCATACTAGAGAGAATTCTTGTTTCGCTGACGACACGTAGTCGCTGGGCTG